CCCAACATCACGCTGGTTCGTAATTACGGGAAGGTTGGTAGCGCCCTTCGCTAGCTCTTCTTTTGCAGCTCACCACATCCGAATTGAATAACTGGGCTATCTTTAGGGTCCATTAGGTGCACCATAAAGCTGTGGAAGACCGAAATGTGCGTGGTTGCTATCGCCCCAGGAAATCAGCCGCTGACGTACGATATGATGACCAAATGCTAGAGTCAATCAGTTTGTCTCTTAAACTGGGGAGCACGCACATATTAATTCCTAGGGACTTCAACCTGTCGAAGGACAGCGTTGCGGGTCATACACTTGGCAGCAGCGGCGGTTCCACTGAAGCCCAACCATTCAGTTTGACTCAGGAATTGAAGTTGGCGTAGTCAGAGCTTCAAATGGCTGAACACTCAAGCCTTTAGATGGTGCTGGAGCAGACAAACTGGGCGGTTGACTATGCATAAGAGGAGGTGAGCATCCTTTGGAGGTTCAGACTGGAAAAAATCTTGCGTGCTATCAGCCATTCCACTCAGATATCAATGCGGAGTGCTCGAAATGGCCCAAAGTAATCAGCAACTATACCCGCAGACTAAATAGGTTAGAATGGCGTCACTGGGGCGAACACAAAAAGGTACCAAATACACATCCAGAGTATTACAGGAGACACGAAACACATATACGAGCCTCCTGAGGGTTGATCGGCAGTGACATCAAGTTAGGCTCACAAACATGTTTGTTTGTGACACATCGTTCCGGTAGGCCAAGATGGGAGTCCACGAATTGCTAGGCTCCAACGGACGGAGTGGTTGAAACAGTTAAGCAACTGCGCCCGAAGCTGACCGGAATTTACAAATCTTTTCGCCATCGTCCGTCTACTCGGGAGTTCATGAGCATCCCGCTATCGAAGTGGGACCCGGTTGTTGACCCAGGCACCAAGGTAGCACAACACAGATTGTTACTGCTGACGGAATACACATCAAAGGGGCTTGATAACATGTGGTATTACGGGAAGAAGCATCAACCTCGGGTGAAAATTTATCTGAGTTATATAAGGATTCTCCAGGCCAAGGGAAAGTTCTTGATCCCTGGAAGTGGGACCACATAACGTCGGTCTTCACGGAAGATGAAGGAAGCAAATTGAAGAAATATAGACCGGTGACGCTCCTTTTCTATACCTTCCAAAATAATGGAGTCGTTAATCTACGATGGGCTGAGAGATTAACAATTAACTTCTAAAAGTCCCGACAACATAGAACTATAGAAGAGTACTCCTACATTACTTATCTGCTTACCGTGGTGGACAGATGGACAGATGGAAGACAGTTTTTCTGTGCCGGTGGACTTGACTTTAAAACCGGGCAGTCAATAACGGCCTCACTTATAATCCCGTGAACTTCAGGGTCGGTTACGTAGAACATAATGCGTGTCACGCATATAGCCTCAACGGCATGGAACTTGAAGCGTCGCCGACGGAAAAAGAATCTGGTGTCTTAGCCCTCCGAGACTTAGAATCCTCTACCAAACTGTGACAGAATAGTATTTCGTGGAAACTTGGCGTTAGTAACCCTTGGAAAAAATTTCGGATGATCCGATGATAGATGTTTCCACCAGATTTTCAACAACTTCATACGACCCTACCTGGAGTTCAGAACTGTCATCTTCCCATTTTCCTCAGAAGGAAAAATTAAGTTGGGGATACAGCCAGAGGCGCTCGACTCAATTTGATGGAGGACTGAGGTCTAAAAAATATGACGAGCGACTAATTGCCCTGCATCCTGCCCTGGAATGCGGTGGACTAAGTGGAGGCTTGATAATGCCTCACAACATCCTAAACACCCGTGGACACCCACTCCGTCAATTGCTGACTCCTCGTCGTGGCACTAATCTTAGGGGACATATGCAGGGACTAAACCTGGAGCATAGCAGGATAGATGTTCGCCAAGTGTTGTTAAGTCCTGGAGTGCTATTCCAGCAGAATTTATTCAGGTTGCTCGGCGTGAATCCTTTCAACACCGCTTGATACTTACCTATGGTGTGCGTTGGATCTCGTCAGAACTAACTGGATTTTCAGATTTTGACCGTGAGTTAGTAAAAACCCTTACACCCGAACATGTGCCACTAGTTAACTCAGAAAACATCTCACTTTACGGGGAGCACCTCCAAGTGTCTTTACGGCGAAGCGAGGGGACTCAGGAGTAAAATGTCACAGCTCCAATTCCTCTGTTCCGACGTCGTCCCGAAAATCATAATCCTGGCGGAAACATGGTTATCACCGGACATTAGTGACACCGAAGTTAACATAGACGACCTGGTTCTGTTCCGGAGAGACAGAGAACACAAGGACGGGGGGTCGCAGTATGCGTGAACAGTTGATTCAAAAGTGAGCAAACCACTGACACCGTATTGAAAAGGCTCCCAGACCCTATCTGGAGCTAATTCATGGTCAAAAACACTGAGTAACTAGTTTGAAGAATCTGTAGGTCGGTAGTAGCAACTTCGGACATGACCAAAAATCACTCCAAGTAATATCTGCAGTGTCGACTGTGGGTTATGGCCAGATCCTAACATCTGGCCACTTCAACGCTCCAGCTTCCGGCCTAGAGCAAGGTGGCGTGACTCCCAGAAGGAATTTCAGTTGTAACCCACTAAATGCCATCCAAATGGCTGGACTGCACGAAAAGATTAGCCACAATACCCGTTGGGGGTCGGATGGTAAACCGTCGAAACTGGATAACCCACTGACTAGTGATCACCTTGTAGTTGAAAAAGTCCAGGTTCGAACTCCTCTTGAAAGCATCGATCACGCTACGGTAATGTTCGGCCTGGTAATCAGTGAACAATTATCGCGGGAGGGACCCCTCCCTTGTCCCTGTTACAACAGGGCAGACTGTGAAGGAGTGAACCAATGCCTATTGAGAGCCCCATGGCCAGTGGATTGGTGATCCTTATCGGTTGACCAACATTGAGAGTTAGCAGGGGACAGCATTAGGGCGGCCATCTTGCTAAACGTCCCCTTGGTGGTAACAACACCCTGAAAGCGGACCCCATGGCTAAGACGAGGCACCGAGCACCTCCTAAAAGCCAAGAGAAAGCCATGGCACAAATGGAGACTCTCTAAAGAGGAGGACGATCACAACGCATATATAGCTCTACGAAGTTGAAGCAACATCAGTGTGAGGAGAGGCAGGAGGTCATCCCAGTCCAGCCTCGTCAAGGAGCTTGAGTTAAACCCCGAAAACCTATACCGATTCGTGGCAAAGAGAAAATCGACAAGCCAAGGAGCACGCGTCATAAAACGTCCGAACGGAGGGAACCTCACTAGGTGGGAGATCGCCGAAATGCAAAGCATCACACTTGACACCTAGTTGAACATTCCATCAGGAAAGTGTGCATACCCACTGCCCGAACAGCCCCCAACGTTATCCGACGCTATCAAAGCTAAGCGTGGGAAACTCCCAAGGGTGCGACCTCATTGTGCGGAAAGAATGCGCCATTCCTCTGAGCCGACTGCCCTGCAGTCCCTCCCAGCACTCTTTGGACGAACAGAAGCCCACACGAGAGTGGAACTGGGCCATCCTCTCCCCGATCTTCAAAGGAAGAAAAAGGCGGAATCCGAACTGCTATAGACCCATAGCACTTCCACCAGTAATGTCAAAAGTTATGGAGAGCGCGACAGACGACCTCACCAGTGAATGTCTGTATACGAAACACGCGCTCGGCGACAGCACGGCTTCCGAAAGGGTGGATCATGTGTCCACAATCTCCTGACGGTCCATGATCACTGGACAGCATACTGGGATCTCAAGGCCCCGGTCCACGCAATTTTTCTGGATTTCACCGAAGCCTTTGACAACGTGTCACGCACCATGCCAATGCACAAAATAGCTGGGTTACGTATCCACTGTCGGGTGCTGTCGTGGCTTCAGAACCACTTAGACAGTAGGGAGTTCTGCACTAAAGCCAACAGGGTCCACTAAACTTGGGTCCACTGTTGTTCCTACTGTTTGTGAATGACCTCCGGCTGAGTATTAGTTCTTCGGTACGCTGACGACGCCAAGTTGTGGGGGGGCAGTAACGTGCGAAACGGAATCGATCGCATTACAAAATGCCCCCAAAACACCAGAGGAATAGGCAACAAATAGTGAGCGGCCATTTAACCTGGATAGGTACTGGTCTATGATTTCCGCACTCCTCATCCGCAGAAAGTATCCCACTCATTTTGTGGCCCACGTCTATCCCATATCACAGCAGGAAAAGACCTGGGTTTAACGGTGACGGAGAAGCTGGGCACCAGTTTTAACTACCCGGATGCCACCTTGAAAGCATACGGCGTACTGCACTTTGTGCGCAGACAACTAGGCGCCCCCACCCCGGAACTCTCTCTGGAACTCAACGAGACTTACGTACGACCCTACCTTGGGGTCCAGAATGTCTCCTCTCCACCACAACTTAAAAGAGGCACGAACCTACTGAAGAAGCTGGAATACGAACCAAACAGAAGAAATCCACTACTACACGCCATTTCAACCATTTTGCCTCTACAACCGGTTTTCTTTCTCCATTAACCATGTGATACCTTTTCACCACTTTCACTTACCATGAGTCAGTGTTGCTCACCTAAGTTCTTCATATCTTTGCACTCCCTTTTGCCTAACATGGGTGTAAGTAGGTTACTCCATTGGTTCACTTTCCTTTTTCTTTTTGCCCACACAGACTTTGCTTTCCAGGTTTCCTCTTCATTATCCCTAACTTTCTCTAATGACCAGTCTGAAAAACTGTCCGGCAACTCGACACCTGAAAAAGCCAGCTGTACCACAGTCCAAGGCGAACTGGCTAACACTTGACCTCCTGTTCTGTATTCCAGAGCTATAGCAGACGAGTGGCTGAATCTACTGCGTCGGACTCCGCCAAAGACCCGAAGCCGTTCCGCAAGACCAAGAAGCGAACAAGAAGAAATCAACTGGTTTACACAAGCTTGTTAAACATATATTGGATTTATTAGACGTTGGAAGTTTACTCTCTTTTTACTTGCATACAAGTTAACCACCACGGAAACCAGTTAAACGAAAGCTGTTACTACTCCGTCGACAATCATTTCGGCTGTTGGTCAAATTAGTTTTAGTACTTTAGAATTCAAGGCTTTGAGATGCCCTCTAAACACAGTTTAGGGGATGCCCTTCACATTCGCTTGTTTGCGTCGGTCAGTGCATAGGGATTTCACAAGAGTCTTTTCTTTGGTAAAACATAGGTCCTAAGATTTTATCTGAATTATCTGTAGTTACCAGGTGAGAAGATTTTACTTGTGGATCCGCAGCTTTTGAGAGCTATTGACCGTGTTGCAAGTATGTCAATATTGAGGCAGCTGTCTGTTACAAAAGTCTTTAAAATTGCTGAGAGCCCACCAAAAGCAGATTATGAAAGGTTAGTTTTCATAACAAAATAACTTGATGATATTTTGGATTAAAGTTTAAAGATACCTGTAGTGGTTGTTCAACTAATCGTTTAATCATTTTGCCTATCACTGTCTTGTGTTAGTTGAACCCTTAGGTTAACTCTAAGTAGAGAATTTGTACTAATTATTTCGATAATCGTCTTCGATCAGTAAAAACCGGAAAAGCGACAAGGAGTTACGAATTAAATTACCAAGCAGTGGTCATATGCAAATCAAGAATTATGTGATACATACTTGCAATTGACACTAGATACAATAGTTGACGCCTGCTGATCGTTTATTGGCTTATACTGGGTTAGGTTCCAGTAAAGAGGCATGGTTGGTCATAACTTAAAAACGCTTGAGAAGCGAGTGGTTACTGTCATCGGCCATGACCGATTGCTATCATTTCTTGCACACTTTGAAGCTTCCAATTCCATGAGGAGATCTCCAGTGAACCGCCTCTCTAACCAGTTTCTTTAACTGCTTGTTTAATGCTTTAAATCTTGCGGTGCTTCAAAACTTGTATTCCGCTGTTGACTCCGAATTTCCATTAGAGGCATATAACTTCAATGTTACGCTTATCTGTTAAATGAGCTTTCGAAATAAGATTCTGTCTCAACAATATGGGCCACTTGACTTTCGAGAGATTCACGGAATGCTTCAAGTTCCGAAAAGTAAATTCAGGCTATTTTCGTAGTGTGAAGCAACCTTGAGGTCTCTGACAGCTGGGCATCTTCATTTCCCAAAGATACAAGCATAATAATTATCGATAATAGTCTCCGTTATATTTGTTTTTAGTTTTGCTGAACCACAGATCCTGTCAGTTTGGATGCTTGTGCAGTAGACACTGCACCCTGTCAGCTTTACCGTAACAGGTCCACATTATATGAGTACTGCGTTCCCACCAATTAATATATCGACAAAATGTAGACAATCAATGCGTTTATAACAGAGTTAAGCGAAAATGATGGGGAGTTGAGAATTACGGGAAGAAGTAGTCGATAGCGGCTCTTTTTAGCCATTATCTTGGAGTCGGCTACATTCTTCAGTGCTGCTTTTACAGCAGACTGAAGATGGCATCCAGAAGAAGCTTGGTGCCATCTTCAGTCTACTGTAAAAGCAGCACTGGAGACTGTAGCCGACTCCAAGATAATGGCTAAAAAGAGCCAGTGGATATCAGCAGCTTCTTCCAAACTAATGGATGCACGTGAATGCATCCCTGCAGGCTCTGAGTACAATGAAGAGCGAGCGCAACTTAAAAATAAACTGACGAAAAGTCTGCGCAACGATCGTGAACAGTGGTGGGCAGCAAAGGCTAAAGAGATGGAAAAGGCAGCGGCGATCGGTAACAGTAGACAGTTATTTAGACTTATTAAGGAGACTGGGGGGAAATGGTCAACAACAGTTAGTGAGGTTATAGCGGAGAAGGACGGATCGGCGATTCACTCGCAGGGAAGGCGACTGGGACGATGGGCAGAACACTTTGAGGAACAGTTTAACTGGCCTCCAGCCACCATTGCGCTGCCCGCTATCCAGTCGGACCCTGAATGGGACATAGAGACAGGTCCCCCAACACTAGAAGAAGTTGAGAAAGCGGTAGGTAGCCTGAAACGGGGAAGGGCAGCAGGACCAGACGGACTACCTGCTGAGGTATACAAGAATGGTGGTAGAGTTCTCTTAGTCAGGCTAACGGAAGTGTTAGCCAGTATATGGGAATCAAATACGATCCCCTCCGACTGGTCTAAGTCACTCATCATCCCAGTCTTCAAGAAAGGCGAGAAGTCCTCTTGTGATAACCACAGAGGAATCAGCCTGACAAACATAGTGTCTAAGATCCTAAGTTCTATAATTCTCCGACGCCTGAGTGGAGCTCGGGAACAGCAAGCCCGAGAAAACCAGGCAGGCTTTAGACCTGGCCGTGGATGTATCGACCAAATATTCACACTGCGCCAGGTCCTGGAACATAGGCATGCTTACAGACGCCCGACAATAGCTGTATTTCTCGACCTGAAGGCGGCATTTGACTCCGTTGATCGAGAAGTCTTATGGCAGTGTCTGTCACTGAAAGGCGTGCCTAGTAAGTACATCACCTTATTGAAAGCTCTCTACTCGAACACTTGTGGGCATGTTAGAGCCTATGGTGAGTTGTCCAGGGAGCTATACTCATCAAGTGGTGTCCGTCAAGGATGCCCACTATCCCCATTCTTATTTAATTTTATCATAGATATTCTTATGGAGGTTTCCCTCTCGTCACCTAATTACAAAGACGTTGACCGGATCACAGGTGAATTTTCCTTAGATCTAGAATATGCAGATGACATAGTCCTGTTAGGTGAAGACGCTGACAAGATGCAGAGTCTTCTGAACACTTTGAGTGGGAATTTGAGAATGTTTGGGATGCGATTTTCACCACCCAAATGCAAATTTTTGCTCCAGGACTGGTCTTCAGCGGTACCGCGGTTAACAATAGAGAGTGAAGTGGTTGAGTGTGTTGACCACTTCACTTACCTGGGAAGTAGGATCAACCCGGTGGGTTAGTTGCCGATGAGATTTCTGCACGGATACAAAAGGCTCGATTGGCTTTTGCCAATTTGCGCCACCTATGGCGCCGCCGTGATATTCGTTTGTCTATTAAGGGTCGCGTGTACTGCACAGCAGTCCGCTCTGTTCTACTGTATGGCTGTGAAACATGGCCATTGAAAGTGGAAGACACAAAAAGGTTACAGGTATTTGACCACCGTTGCCTTCGTAGTATAGGACGTATTCCGTGGTGTCACCATGTGAGTAATGCAGAAGTTAGGTGTAGAGTTTTAGGGAGAAGAGGTAAGTCAGTCGACGAGGTTGTGAACCTTCATCGACTGAGATGGTTGGGACACGTACTACGTATGCCTAGTCACCGATTGCCTCGTCACACAATGTTGGCTGAGGTGGGTTCAGGCTGGAAAAAGGCCCGAGGTGGCCAGACTAAAACATGGCACCAATGTATGAAGTCTCTGACTGTTGGTTTAAGCCATGTAGGACGATGCAGACTAGGTGGTTGGGGTCCACGGGACAAGAGGAACCAGTGGTTGGAGACCCTAGGTGATATGGCTCAGAACCGAAGTCAGTGGCGCAGATGTATACACACATTATCCTCATCTTAACAACGCTATACCGAATCTCACTATTTTGTCACTCCTCTTTCCTTTCTTCTCGTACTTTATATTTCTTTTGACTGCATTCACTTATCTTCATCCTTCACCTCACTACCTTTTTACTTGATGTGCTGATATGAGGTGTGGCAACTCGGACCGTTACGCAGTAATGCCTGGTCCTATGTTGATAATGATGATGATGATAGCGGTGGAAAGTCATTACGACAAACGGAGTAAAAGAACGAAAAGAAATTCAATATGACTCTTAGGATGAAGATTACACACAGATGGGTCTGCACAACAGATAAATTTCAAGACATGTCGCCTAACGTCTCCAACCCTTAACTTTGTTGCAGTAGCCTCGAACTGAAATCTAAATCCCCTCTACACGGTCACAACTGGCAGTCAGAAACCTACTTTGATGTCACGTTTCAATCTTGTCTCCTATAATCTTTCTCCACTCCAAACCTGCTTCGGTGACTATTGCGTGACGAGATAGATATTGACTAGGTCTGCATAACAATACCTAGCTACTCGAGTTAATCGAGGCCCAAAACCTCGTCAACTTCCCCATTTCATCTGCTGTTGGAACGGTGCTCGACTCGTCAGTTTTTACATCCATTTACGTGTAGTGGAACCGATGCGTGATCACTTTGTGAACATTCGTTACGGAAGAATGGGTAACCTTCCATCCATAACTAATGACTATATGACGCATCTGTCCACAGTTGAGTTGAAGGTGGTAGATGACACGTTTAACAATACCTCATTTTATGCCTAGAGTTCGTACTGACCAGAAATAGGTGGTTATCTGAAAAGTTTATGATCTGAGAGGACCAACGTGCTAACAGAGATGTGAGAGTGGTTGACACTCGGTTTTCTACAGGCAAAATTAACACAGGACCTTGCATTGCTGCATAGTAGTCCACGTTGTCAAACCTCATATCAACACATTCAGCGAGAAAGCTCTAAGGGGAAAGATGAAAAAATAAAGAAGAGATCGGTCAAAAGTGGTAGAAAGTCATCAAAAGAAAGTATAGAAAAGTGAGGATATAGTGAGTTCCGTAAGACTATTAGGATGGGGATAATGAATGCATCCGTCTACCATTGATGTCGATTCTGAGCTGTCACATAGTGTCTCCAATGAATGGTTTGTTGTCACATGGACCCCGACCGGGAGGTCTACATTCCTCTACATCTTTTAGAACAACAGCCAAAGACTTTAGAAACTAATGGAATGTTTTAGTCTGGATACTTCTAACTTTTTCCTAACCCTAACTTACTTCAACCTACATTGTGCAACAAGGCAAATGACGATTAAGCATGCATAACTCGTGTTGTGGTCTCATGAGTCGATGAAGGTTAAAAACTTCATAAACAGGTTCTTCTCTGTAGCTTTACACGGAGTAGTCCCCCGGTTCGAACCCAATCTACACCAGGCTTTCCCAACCAACTATTTGCATATCACAATGACCCGACGATCTATGTTGGTGAAACACTTGTTCCCTTGATGTCCTACCTTACCAGAAAGGCAAGAAAAAAGTAGTCACCGTCCTAGTGTCAAGTTTACGCTATGGTGGGGATGTGAGGACGAAGTCGTACTGCTGGTTGTACGGGGGAGTGACAGCAGTATTGTTTCCACTGGATGACCAGCTGTTCCGCGCTGGCTTACCTATGGGAGGGTACGGGGGTTGGAACAAGTCCACCCCAAGGAAAGCGCACCCCTTGCTACCTTGCAGCATTTCGGTGATACTTATATGGGTTAATGGTAGGATTCACGGAGAAAAGAGCTAAACCCGTATGTGGTTGACCTCAGGCAGACGTATTTTGGGCTATGGCGTCATGTGTCTCAGTGAGAAATAGGTTTCTTCAGTATGGGCAGTGGGAAAGTGTCAACCGCCCTCACAACTCAGCCAGCACTTACGTTCATTGAGAATAAAGTCCAACTTTCATCTCCCTAACTTCTAATCTTCCTTCACGTCTCAGTCAATGTTTCCACATAATCTTTAATTCCTCCTAATTCTACAACTCTTGACAACAATTTGAGTTTATAGAACAGGATCACTGGTCTCCTGAAATCTGGTTTTAAACTAAATATTGGAGCTTTCAATGTCTGCACCCTCCATCAAATCGACCAACAAGCTTCACCAAACAAGAATCTAGCGGCTCAGGAGCATAGTTGTGTGCTGTGTTATGAGACACGTCTACAAGACGCAAGTGCAGTTATTCACTTGACCTGATCCTGGCAATATGATAAAACTGCGAATTCCGCTCTCTGACTTCCTGGAAATTCCACGGCTAGTTGTCGTGGACTTGCTTGTGTAGGTATAGCATTATGTACTTAGGCACTAAGAGCACTGCTCGACTGTATCTCACTTAACAGTAGCCTATGCGCTATTCACCTGAACGGGACAATGAGGACTAACAAGAAAAGTTAAACTTGTGTTATCTCTTTGTAACCGCCTACACACTAACTGACTAGAGTTTGTGTGAAGAAAAGGATGAGTTTTACCAAAAACTCTTTAGCCTCTTACTGAAAGCCAAACATTTAGATGTGGTTCTTGTAACAGGTGATTTCGATGCACAAATGAAGAGACTAAGTCAAGCAAAAAGGCACATAGGTGAATAGCACTTTCAGAATCCCCGACGAAAGTAAGGCTGAATGAGGTGGATACTGGTGTGAAGGAATTTTAGCGCTGACAGAGTTGTGAGGATGGTTGGCATTTCCCGGCTGCTCACATTGTGGAAGGCTAGTTTTTCTTGAGGTACCTGAAAATGAAAGTTTACTGCGTGACCTCAGACTCCGGGTGACATCTGCTTGAGAGTGGTCACATGACCTCTTTGATGCCATGACAATTGGCGTGTGTAATGGGAGATGTAGTGCAACACATTTCTTTTGGTTTTGGATCACCACTAACCACTGATGACTGAACTAAGCCACCGTAATCCATAATCTCTTTGTTTAAGAACATGTCAGGGGTAACTGCTTGTCTAACCACTATCCAACAGACCTTTCTGGTATGCTAGGACCTCAAGGAAACAAGCATTCCACCAGGGTATTACACCGTCGTTGATTGGACCGAAGTGATCAGTCTCTGTTGGCATATGGGCTCCTATGCGGACGCCTCGATATTGCCTGTCTTTTAACTGTGTTTAGTAATGATGGGCAGTGGCTAGCAGTGGAATCCAGGATGCTCATTTCGTCCTATTTGGGACTCGTCAGCTGGACGTACCTGCTTCCCAGTGAGTGATGTTGTTCCCACCGGGACTCGGACTCGGGAGCGATCGCTTCAAACGCCAGTGCGTTATCCACTACACCACCGATCCACTGCTAGCCACTGCCCATCATTACTAAACATAAATTATTCTGTTATGGTTATTCTATTCTATTTATTCGTAGTCACAATTCAAATTAAATCATAAAAATATATTGACCGTCATGCTAGTTTTCTTGTATGTGATGTATTGTAATTATCGGTGTCATTGCATATGTAGAGTAATAATCAATTCTTTCAGTGTTACTCCTACCTTCTCATCGTTGCCATCATATTTTTTGTAACTATACAAAGAACAATTAGTCATATGGAGAGTATCACTACTTTTTTTCCAAGTTTTAACCTTTTTAACTTAAGGAATCTCAGCTAAATGCATTTATACAACACCCATTTGATTCAACCGGTGTACAGTCGTTATATCTCTTGACTTTCTGGACTTATTCTTTTGGAAATTATGCAGGATCGCTTATATGGTCCCATCGGAATTCAACTCATGTATGTCAGTTATCAAACACTGTGAGGTGGATCAACTGAAGGAAATCAAACGAACAAGGCTGATAATATTTGTCCCTAAAGAGGTACTTGCTGTTTTCCACAGTAATTGCTTAAAATAATTGTATATCGCTTTTCTGTCAACATCAGTAGGATAATAATATTATTGTATCTTAATTCTATCCTAAGCACTTGCTGGTAACTTTTTAAAAAGGATCCGTAAATCATGTTTAATAACTAATTGTCTAACCATAAAAACATATTACTTCTTTGTGTTCTACCTTTTAAGAGCTTTTGTGAGAGGGTCATGCAGATGGATAAGTAGAGGTTATTGGGACAGTATTTGATGCATTAACGCTCAGTGGTGTCACAATACATGCTACTGAACATATCATAGTTTTGGTTGGAATTCATCATGGACTGACATCAGTTGGAGGAACATTGGAAACCTGGGAGCCCTGGACAGCTGTTTCGTCCTAGTGCAGGGCAGCTCAGCAGTCCCCCACCCGTGACCCGGCCAGGGATCAAACTCAGAACCTTCAGGTTCCGTGACCAGCACGTTACCGTTGAGCCACTGAGTTGGAATCCAATGGTCCATCCTTCCTACTTCTATCGGTTCACGATATAGCACGAGCTACATTCAATGTCGTCGTTGAGCAACTGTTCTCATGTTCGACTTGATTCACTCCACTGGTCACGTTTTCTTATTGGAACTTCGGGAATCACCTACCGAAGCCACTGACTAATGAACGTTAGGTTAGTTCTATCTGAAGGTTTATGGAGATCTATTAATTGATTTTAGGTTGGAACTCATCATAGTTTTGGTCTACCTTAGTCTGTTGCTTATGTTGAATGTATGGGATGGTATCGATTGTTGCCGCATTTTGACTTACACTCTTGAAGGGATTTTTTTTTGTCGAAATAATTTATCTTGATTGGTTTCATTTTCCATACCTTCTGTTAGAATATTGACAGCGCTTTATCGCACTGATACGAGTTTGGCTAAGTCTGAAAGTTTCTGATCGGAGACTGAGAAACTTCGCAGCATAAGCATTTTAATAAGTTGACATCCATGGATAAAGAAATTAAAAGCTAAAAATGATTACCGACTTTCAAACCATAGTATTTAGCTGTTCTCCTCTTCACAGTTTATTGATCAATACTTTTGTAAAAGGGTTGCTTCACACAACAAAGTAAAGTGAAATGTTGGTTAGAATGATATTATGGGAAGGAGCGTACCTTCTACATTTGCAAACTATGACTCACTGGTCAAGGCACTTGATTTCCAACCAACGGGTCCAACCCAGCCCCATCTGCCGACGTTTGAGCAGCCAGGTAGTATCATTAGCTCTCATGCAATGGGTGTGGCCGAATGTCTATTTTGCGGATGTGTGCCCAAGTTTGCCAAGGAGATTTCAGTTTATTAAATTTGTGGTAGCTTCAGTACATAGCATTTCTTGCTCAAAACGAGCTTATTAAGTTGAGAAAACTCACTGAAGGGGAAAATGACAGCTTCGCAAAAGTATAAAATCATATATTGACAAATTCTAGGCAAAAACTGATAAGCAGTTCTCTCCAAATGTGCAGGATATTCTTTCCAGAATATGCAAAAGATCCCAACAAGTTATGATACCACCTTACTATGGTGCATCTGACACACATTTTTCCTAATCACCAGTGAGTGTATGTCAATTATAGAAAAAAGAAAGGCAAACACATCATGCTCTTACAAGTTTGGTAAGCAAACAATCAGGTACACTTACCGTATGAGGGCGTTTCTCTGATGTATTCTACTTATGGGAATATAGTGTGCGGTCTTGTTTAGAAAGGTAGTGACATTTGACATTCAGTTGGTGGAGCTTATGGAGGAACAAAAATGGAAAGAAGTGCAGAATAACAAGGAAGAATGAACGAAAATTGAAGAACAACTCATTTGGAATTTACAGTGCAGATATTATTTGTTCACAAATTGTTCACAAACGTATATCGTGACAATTTATATCAAATGAAATCTATCTACTGAGAAATTCAGTATAACTTATGGAATTTCATTTTTCGCCTAGTCTTCAATGATTTTTTCCCGTAAATATGGTATAAGTGTAGAATATAACATTCCGGTAGGTAATTCAGTGATTTCATCTTAATTCTTGCCCACATTTGTTTTTTGCAGATATCTTCAATGACTTACCTCTTAGAATCTCGTGGATTTCTTGGTCGGAATGTGTGTACTGCAAGTTTATCACTCAGTTGGATTCAGTTGGATACAGACTTAGTGACTTTAAATCTGCCTGCACTGTATCCGGATTTCTATCTGTACAAAGATTATTCCTGGCCTCACTATATGGGTATGGAATTGGGACGCTTACTGAAGTTAACGAGTGAAAGTGACCTGGCTCCAATGGGTTGTCGGGTAGGTACAGTTTACACTTATCTAGTGAAGTGGTTATATATATATATATATATATATATATATATATATATATATATATATATGCAAAGTCACTTAACATTTTCGATCATCACTTAGTTCTGTTCTAGTAGTGAGTAGAATTTAGTACACTTGGGATTAACTGGTTTAGTAGCGATCGTGCGTTAGGTGTACTCGGAAATAGTCGGTCATCATACAGATAACACCGTTTTCCGAATTTTTCATTTCGATTTAGTTGAAACTAGTTTCTCTTTATCAACCTGGAGAGAGCAAGTAAAAGTACATTGAACATAATAAAGTGGTGTTATCTCACTTCATGAAGTACTTTTTACCTGCGTGTGACAATATTTTAATATCAGATTGTAATAGAAATTTAACATGCTTAATTTCGTCGATAAATGACTTCAGCATGCACCGAAGTAATAAGGGATTGTATTTATAGGTGTGATTCAACCGAACATTCTCGTGTAATATGAATTCACAGGGACGGAAACAATAATATTTTAGAATTTACTTACCTGATTTGTTTTGTAAGTTCTGCTTTATTATCGTTGCCATCCGTATCATTTCTGTTCGATGAAAATGTTCTACTGAATTGCAACCATAAACGCAAAATTTTATTATTTCTTATCAACTTCATTTCGTGTTATTTCCAATCCTATTATGTATGTGCATACTAAACTCATTTCCCAAATGATTTCTTACTGGTGAATTCTAGTATGTTAAATTTCAGTATGTTGTAATGCCGAGCAACCGTTATTAAATATCTTAGATTTCTACTGTAGTAAAATACTAAATATTTTTGGTGATAAGCAATTCAAAAAAACCTGACGAAATGAAATGACACCATGTTATTCTACTTAGTTTGTCTAAAATTGTCAACTGTTTAACAATATGTATTGATAGTTTTCACTAATTCTAGGGTCGATTTGTAATAACTGTTAGATCCATGCTCTTGGAGAGGCTTCGTACGTTGTCGCGGCTGGTATTCGCTTGCATTGCATTCAGTCTGGTTTGGTCGATATGGATCGAAAACCTTCTACCAATGTTAACGCTCAGTCAAGTAATCACAGAAATGGATCGGTTTCTGATGAAACCAATTCATTGCAAATGCTGGATTCACGGTCTTCATCATCTGCATCATTGTCAGGAGCGTCTTTTCGCGTGCCTCCCTTGGTCTTAATATTTAGTCGTGGTGAGTTCCCGTCCATGTCTTTTGTATGTTTTTATCTATGTTTTATAATATTTCTGTGTTTAAGCCGCACTAATATAGGTTTGTACGTTGAAATGGGCGAATAAATGAATTTCATATGCCAGATATGATGCAAAGCTGGTAAAAGTAAATTTGGTAGCCTCACCCTATCATGAGAATCTTTGTAATCAATAAGTTAGTTATAAGGATACCGATTATCCGTTTTTTTAATCCATGTACCTTGTTGTAAGTGATGTACTGCATTGGTTCACTCCAGTTATACTAATGATTACCCTTCTTTGTACCCACCTTCTCACCCAATATTTAGCTTTGTGGAGCTACAGTTCGTTGGTTTAGGCACTCAGCTTTGAAATAGAGCGTCATGTGTTTGAAATCGACTCTACTTACCGAGGTTTGTACAATTGGGTAGGATCTGTAACTGTAAAATAATAGATGCAACTCACCGCCTATACCGAAATCTGCACATGGTTGTGAAGTTGCATAGTATCTCTGTATGAGTATCCGCCTTTACGTTAATAATACATTTTGCATCTGAATTTTACGTTTGTGGTCAGTTTCTTAGAATGTGGACTGAATCTTATTATAAAGCCCTAATCTGTTCAAATTTTGATAAGTATTGCCCACCCTATGTAAATTGTAGTTGTTCAGTCTGTCTTCTAGTTACTAGTTTTTCTCTTTTCTTAGTCGACTGTATTTGAGGCTTTATACAGCTACACAAATATTTGTAAAGAGGAATAAATGAGGAAAGCATGTCCAATTAGTGAAAAAATCAATGTACGTCAACAACATTTAGGTTTAAATCCTGTTCGGAACTCCATTCAGTAAATATTACTGTATCACTGTTTTTTAATCAAATTAACGGTCCAATAGAGAACTATATTTTACCGCACTGTCGATGTTTTACTCTTAAAGCAGTGAGCATTACGTAACAATAGATTGTTCGAACGGAGCAAGTGGATTTTTTTTCAAATTAAATGCCCGCGAATGATAGTGCTGAAATTAGATTCATTGAAACCTTTCTTCAAAATGAGTACGTGAATGATAATGTGTTTTTTTGTGAAAATAAGTAGTCGAAACCAAATATTTTACGAAGTTTCATTTCAAATAGATAACTGTAAACGACAGTATGCTCAACATGGCCATGATTGAACTTTAAATTTATATTCTAGCAGGCATTCGCACAAATTATCAGTAGTGAATGTATCCAGTTCGAGTTCAGAGGTAATCTACAGATGGATTAATTGGGTTGCAGTGATCGTGTCGCTCAGTTTCATATCAGCGGGTACTTTTCCAGCTCAACTAAAACCGATCGTTCTAAGCAGTTTATTCTAATCGCATTTTCTTGCCGGTAAAAATATATATATTTATTCCATATGACGGTAACATGTATAAACTTCAGATGAAATAGACAGAGTCATTGTTACTACAACTGCCACTGTCATTTTTCGAATCCTAGCCGAACGAACTGATAACGAACATCGCCGTATATAACGTTACTCAGATAAAATGCTGTGGGAATCTGAGTATGTTTGGCAAACATTCTGTACCTGTAAGATGGTCTACAACTACTTTCAGTCTAAGGATAGGCAATGAAATGGTAGAATGTGTTAACCACTTTACTTAATCAAGGAGTTGCTGTAGCCTGAATAGATTGGTTGCTGATAAAATCTCAATTGGAATAAAGTAGGCCAATGTTAGTGTTGGTTAACCTGTCCCTACTCTGCTGCCAGTGAGATATCCTACATTCTATTAGATGACCTTTTTACTGAGCTGGAATTGACTTCGTTCTATTATACAACTGTGAGAACTGGTCGTTGAGTGAAATATGTGAAAAGACTACAGATTTTCGGCCAGAAGTGTATTTGCAGCATTGGAATAATCATAATGTAAGCAAGGTAAAGCGAAGAGTGCTAATCAAAACGGGCGAGTCAGTTTATGAAGTTGTAAACCTTTTGCAACTTAGGTATTTTAAACACCTATTGCTAATACGTAGTGACTGCCAACCTTGACCTGCAATCGTAACCGAAGCAGGACTGGATTGGAAGAAGGCTCAGAGTTGCTATGCCAAGATATGTGCCCTGAGTCCATAAAGCCTCTGACTGTTAGTTTGGGTCAGATGCTAAGCTGCAGACTACCTGACTGGGGTTATGAAGATAATAAGAATCATTGTTGGGAGTCTCTCAGTAATATGACTGAAAGCGGATCACAGTGGCAATGATGTATTCACTCTCCGACGTCTTCTGGAGAATGTGAATATTTTCACTAACCCTTATTTGTTCAAGTCTCTTTTCCTCTACTTTAATACCACGTTTCTATTCAATATTTCTTTGCATGCTTTTGTGCAGTGTAGCAACTTGAGCTGATGAACATTTGTGCGAGCCTTCATTTTGATTTGTCTGTCCGCCTAGACAACCAGTACGGAACTCTAAGCGTAAAGTGAAGCACTGTCTGGTGCGGCATTCACCGACCTCAACTCAACTATGGGCACAAATGCATCATATCGTCATCGGTTGTCACTGGAAAATTACCGCTCCTCCTGCAGTACGTGTTCGCACAGTGATCACTCGTTGGTTCTAACACGACTGTATGCTCGTAAATGGTCGTGGACTAACTCTTCGTTTTCAAGTACTTTGTAAACAAATAGCCTTCCCTCGTGTGGGCAGCGAAGAAACCAACCATCATCATAATTCTGTCAGCACATGTTCTCTGGGATGACTGTCCGCCTTCCACCTCCTTAACTCCTAATCTTCCTTCATGTCTCCCGGTCAGTATTCATACATTATCTTATTTCATTCTCGCTCTTGACAACAGTCTGGTTTTACAGAACAGCATCACTGGTCTCCTAAAACCTGGTTTTAAACTACACTTTGAAGATCTCAATGTCCGCATCTCTTACATCAAACCAGATGACAAGCTTCACGGACCAAAACTGTGAAATGTCGAGCCATGAATGTATGCTGTGTTTGTAGGAAGCGCCTACAGTAAACAAGTGTGGTTATTCACCAAGCCTCACACGGTGAATAATGTGAATCCGGAAAGTTCACCGTTTGAGTTTCTGTCTCTTCGATGGCTAGTTGTCACAGTTTTGCAGGTGTAGGTATCGTTTTAGGTGGTGCTAAGGTCGCAGTGTACTACTGCTCGACAGGATCTTAGTTAATAGTTGTTTGCGTACGGTTCCCCTGAACAGCACAGTGAGGATTGAGGGGAATAGTGAAACTTGCCGTTATCTCTTTGTATTATCTGCATGCGTACTCACTGACGAGTTCAAGTGAAGTAAAGGGTGAGTTCTGCCGAAAACTCGCTGACCTTCTACTGAAAACCAAACTTTGAAAGTTGTTATTGTAGCAGATGATTTCAGTGCGCAAGTGGGTAGACTAAGTCAAACAGAAAGGCACATAGATGAATGGAACTTTCGGAATCCCAGCTTACTGCAACTGTTTATTTCTAGCCAGAATGAACTTCGAATATATAGAGAGGCACTATCTGATGCAACGTCCATTGACTTAAATTCATTGGTGGACACAGATTGACGCTTTTCGTGCTTGTTAAATGCAAGTTGTTGCTTTAAGACTGATATGCACCTGCTCCCAGTTTAATGATAGGGAATGTATCGACCAATTTACTTGCCGAATCAAGTGAGTTACATCAACGCGAACGTGGTGCTTGATTGAGAAATCTAGACTCGGATACAAAAGGGCCGTTAGCCATTTGCCAACTTGGGTCCTCCGGGTCACTGACTGGCGAAATATCGGACTATCTGTGAAAGAACTGGTATGCTGCACTGCAGTTCGTTCTGTCCTGTTATACGGCTGTGAGACACTACCGTTAAAAGCAGAAGACATAAAGCGATCTAAGGTTTTTTGTTACAATTTGGAGATTGCAATGTTCTATGGCCGCTAACGATGCACGGATATCGAGTATCAGCCACCGACGTTCAACGAATTTCCTAGTTGATTACCGACTCGACTAATAAATGGAGAAAACACGATGGATGTGTAGAAACGTTTATTGGGACCGAAAGACCGAAGGCCAAAAAGGGAAATACAGCTAATATTTAGATAGTTCACTGTTTAAAATAATCCTATTGATTGGCTGATTTACCGTCTGTCTGTAGAAGTGATAACATAAAGTACATTTTGATTGGTCCCTCTGCAGACTAGTCATTTCTATCCCCATATTAGTTTTGATCACAGATGTCTTCGTAACATTACTCCCGTTTGGTGAGATCAGCATGTGAGCAATGTTGAGGTCAGGCGAAGGGTATTAGGCAAGACAGGCCAGTCGATTGGTGCGGTTGTGAACCTTCGTCAGCTGAGATGGTTTGGAGATTCACTGCGCATGCCGAGCCACCGCCTATCTCGACGTGCATGCTAGGGGAAGTTGGATTAGATTGGAAGAGGGGTTCAGGGTGGTCAGACGAAGACGTGATACTAGTCGATGAAGTCCCTAACTGTTGGACTGAGCTGTATGGGGGAGATGTAGACTGCCTGGTTGGGGTCCCTGGAACTAAAGGAATCAGTGGTGAAGAAGTCTTGGTGACATGTCAGAAGATCGGTCACAATGGCGTGGATGTATTCACTCGTTGACATCTTGGAAAGTTTGAATATTTGCACTAACCTTTATCTTCAAATTGTTTATTCTCACACACAACTTTGTATATTTTGATATCACTTTTACGATACGTTTGTTCTTTGTATATTTCTGTGATATGTGGCAACTTGAACCGTTGCATTACGTGTGAGGTTCCATGTTGATTTTGTTTGTCTGTCTGAAATGAGGTGTGTGAACTTGAATCGTCATGCAGTAATGGCAGGTTGTATGTTGATGATGATAATGAGGACGAGAAGGACGATATGCCTACATTAGCAAATTCACAGGAGCTAACCATTGCGTGTCCGAATACACTTAAAAGATGAATTTTGAAGATTCGCCACGATGACCAGGTAAGGTCAAGTTAAATAACTGCACTCGGGTCCTTTATTTTTTTATGTCTGAGATGCACAGCATGTATCCATACTTGTAGATTTCAGATCGATGACAAGCGATACCTGCTGTTCTATTAGGCTTAGTGTTCGGACGTTGAAAGCTTCAATATGCAATCGATTACGGGGCATTTAGCGGACTAGGAACAAGGTTCCTTTGGCTTGGATCGTTGTCAGTGGTTGCAGAGTGAGAGGTTGAAGGCTTAATAGGGTAAGAGGCCTAATATCGGCATCAGCAGGTGAAGTCAGAGGAGACAAAGGTAAGGAGGGTAGGTTATATTCCACTGGTTTTTGTATGTTGCTGGAAACGTGTAGGCTTTTGACATTTCCCAGCTATCCACACCGTAGAAGTTGTTTCTGCAGGGTACCTAAAGTAGAAAAAGTGGTAGTTTTGCATGACCACAGATCTCATAAGAGATCTGTTTGAGTCTTGTCACATAGTCTTTTGAGGATTGTTGTTTTGATATTTGATTGTTCTAACGCCGGATAAGAATAAAAGGTTATGCGGCGGGTACTGAAAGACCGCAAGGCTGGAGGGAGGATACTGTTTTTGGTTACGATTTTTTCTAACTCCCGCTTGCCATAGCGAAGTCAGCACCAGCATATTACTGCTGGTCATCCGCGGGAAACACGTTACTGCTGTTACACGCTGTCACCCAGCAGTATGACTTCGCCTTCAACACCGATCATAGCACAGCAATGTAAACTATGATAGGAACTGCTTACTGTCTTACGACTATTCAACTGACGATTCTTGTACGGTATGACCTCAAAGGAACAACCTTTCTACCTGCACAACTTCGGCCATTGTAATATACAGACCGGACAGCATATGAAGGAAGCGTCTGTCAGTCAGGGTGTTTTAGGGTTAGATGTACTGTATCGTAGTTCGCTCTGTTCTACTCTGTGTCTGGAAAACATGAGCAGTAAAGGTAAAATACACGAGACGGCATCAGTAGTCTTGTAGTTAATTTTCAGTATTTCTAAAGATGTCACCTGATTATATTTTGTTTTAAGAATGTAGTCTTTAATCATTGAAGTGAAGTTAAAATGAGGTATTCTTCCACTTTCTGGCTTCCTTACACAGGATGAGCGACTAGTTGGTGAATAAAAAGGTTTTTAAGCCAGATGAAGATATTCCTATTGGTAAAAATCTGGCAAGGAATATCCATAACCTATTCTACTACTCTCTGTAGAAGAATCGGTGTACATTTCAGCGTGATGTAGTGAACTGCGCTTCCTTCGTAGCATGGGTCTTTTTTCTTAACTCAGAAGTCATGCGTAGAGTTTGAAGTAAAAGAAGTTAGTAAGTTGATGAAGTTGTAAACCTTTATCTTCTCAGTCGACTGGATGATGTGTTCGGCATACCCAATCGTCATCCGTTTCGTCACGCATTGTTAGCTGAAGTAGGTTTATGCAGGAGAAAGATTATAGAAGACCAAACTAAAGCATGGCATCGGCGCATAATGTCTCTCTTGGACTGTCAGTTACAGTCGTGTGGGAAAATTCCGACTTCAGTTTGGGGTTGGTGTGACAACCGAAATCGGTGTTTGGAGAAGTTAGGCGATATAATTTGGAATCTATATGTGGTGCAAACGCACCTACATGTTAACCTAATCTTCGTATGAAATTTTATTGTTTTATTTCTTCTTATTCGCCTTTTGCGACTTCCTACCACTTTTAAATAATTTTCTCTTTGTTTCTTAATCTGCCATCTTGCTTAAGTCAACCATGATATGCTGTTATGAGTGAGTGTTGCTCAGTAATGCCAGGTTCCATGTTGGTGCTGACTGACAGTCTAATACGTTAGTTTATTTTAGAAGTTTAGAACTCACAAACATCGCATATCACATAAATAATTAAATTTAATGTTCTGTTTTGTCTGTGTTATCTCCTCTTCCTTGCAGTTCTCAAATCTAAAAATTGAGTACATCGGTTTGATGATTTAAGTTGAGCAAAACTAGATATCGGAAATATCGTAAACCAGAAGATTCTGGGTTGTCAACCCCGTTCATTTACCGACTGAACTATAACAATGACTCGTTTTTACTCCAAGCGCCCAGCTCTTTATCCAGTTATCATATGAATAAAAGCTACTGAGTTGGATTTCCTCATTACACCCCAAGTTGAGCTGATTCGGCAAATTAGACAGACTAATTGGTTGCGAATTATCATCTCTGAAATGACCCTTATTGACAGATGGTTGTGTATATTTGTTACAAAGTAAAAGCGGACATAAAGAATACACAAGAATCAGGTGTTAGGAGTCAACCAGCAGAAAACTAAACCTAGGTTTCATGTTTATTGGTTCTCATTAGCAAGGGATATCTGCAACCATGAAGAAGTCATTGTCCCCACTGTGATTCTAACCTGTGTCAGTTAATGGTGAATATAGCGAATTTACCACCATACTATTTAAGCCGGAACTGACCTGCTTGTAGGGCAGGATCAAATACGTGTATCAGTCACCAGTAGGCAATCAATGTACCTGTCTCAACGTTGATCAAAGTCTTTCTGTGCACGAGTGCGTTCAACTCTCATATTATATCACTTAACTAGTGAGTTTGGTCTTAGATTTCAGTCCTTTTGTAATTTAGTATGTCAGTTTTATAGTGCTGTTACTAAACTAACTACATTAACAGGGTTGCCTATTGTCCTTTTTTTGGATAGCTGAAAGCATTCCATAAGAAACAGTGGTACAGATTCTTAATTTTTGTAAATCAGCATACTTTATCCATGAGGATCGCATTGTGTGCGAATTCTTAGCATAAATTACTTTTTCTATCAGTAATTATAAAGAAAACCTTTCAACAAAGGAGAACTATTTTCTCGCAACTTAACTAACTTTAGTGATCTAAAACAGTATTCGAAGTCTGAATTACTGATCTCAGTCAAGTTCTATATACAGCCGTATGTATGTATATGTAGAAGAAAGATTCCACATGCAGTTCACTCTCTCCTGATATATGATGATGAATGGTATTATCCAGCTGTCTATAAAGAAACTGATGCAAAGTGTTTAGATTAAGGCATCACAAATAGATTGTCTTGACCACTACTAAGGTTTTGGACCACCTCCGAAAATATCCATTTCTTGTTTAAATAATAAGTAAGCACACTTCACAGAAACGACGATAGGTTATTCGAAACTGCTTAGTTATCAGTCATGCATGATCGGTAATGTTACATAGGTTTTTGTTGGGATGTTTTTTATTGCCATTACTTGCTTTATTTATGCGTACAAATAACGCATGCAAATGGAGATACTCATAAGAAGGGAGTTACTTTACCAAACTATTGCACTCTTGTGGGATCCGACAACAAACCTAAAAATTATAATATATATTTTGTTGATACCTGCCCTCGTGTTTAAACCTGAATCCTGATTTTCTTAACGATAGTTTTAGTCAGTAGTACTAAATACACTGAACGGCAATATCAGCTCAATGAATCGAATTTATCACTACCTCAATCTGACATTATTATTTTAGTAACCATCCAACAACTTATCAGCTTTCTTAGCGTAAAACATATTTATATTTTTTCCCATAGATTTGGATTACATAACACCTTTTCTGGTTCCAATGACATTTGAAGCTTTAATTCATGAAGTGATTGGTATTGAACTAGGTAACTGGTTCCTGACTTTTTTTGTTGTTTGTTTATATTTATTATACCCTCCATTGAATTCTACAATTTTGCATTTCTGTCTACGTAATTGTTACTGCAACTTCCTAATCTGATGTTATTAATCTTCCTCGACAACTTAGTTCCAACAATAACAATGTATGTTTAGATATACTTTCAACTGGTTCGAATAATGTCGTATTGACAGTTACTAAAAAACTAAAGCAAAATTATGTCTGAAATAATCTCTCCAGGAATATATTCAGATTTAAATCATTCTGTGGTAAACTATCCAAGCAGATGTAACTAATCCTTCCGTTAGCGGTTATTCACCGTTTCGTTTCATGAATAGTTTTCTGCTAGCCAACTTTTTAATGAACTTACATATATTTGTATACAGTAGGCTGTTGGACTAGTTGTAGTGTCTTTAACCCATTGTTCTCCTCGTTCCAAAAAGCCAAGTCGTATCTTGTCAGAATTAAAATTTCATAATGTTTTCTTTGAAAAATCTCAGTCATCTTTCAGGAGACTATGGACAATATCTGTAAGGAAAATCAAACTGTGACTTCCTGTCAGCAGACAGTGAATAAAATGAAAAGTAGGTCAACTGATCTTCAGCTATTAACTATTTGATCGTGATCATCATCATTCTACTTGTCTATGAAGTTGACTGTTGGTTATATTGACAGATGTAATAATTGGATTGTGATAGTTAAGAACTATTTGCTCCCATTGATTTCATTAGGTGATTCTATCGCTACACAAGTAAGTGTGGAGATTCACTTGTAGCAACCACAGACGGATAAGATTAACTTACATTGTTATTAAAACCCTAGAATTTATTCAATCTTTATCTGAAATTTGAAAGATAGAAATGGTGGGAAACTTCGACAAATCTTTCCTTTGGTCATTAGTGCATCGATAAATGACATCAAGTTGTATTGAATGTGTGTATTTGTTGACGTGTGATACCGACTGTGCTCCTCACGCTAAACGAGGCGATCGAGAGCTGTTTTAGCATTCTACTTTGTCTTATTTCGTCGCTATGAGAAATAGGTTCTAAACGTCGAGGATGGAAGAGTAATATCATCAGTGTCTTTAAGTTATTGCATTATTGTAGTGGAAATACTGAATAGGAATTGATGATTTACGATGCAGAACTCTGGTCAACATAATTTAGTCGAATAGTACAGTTGACTTCTTAAGTTACCCAATGAATTTTACTTGATTAAAATCCCATGATCATACCAAAGCATACCATAAATCCATAAAGTCCTTGACCCTTGGTCTGCGTTGTATAGAGAACCGTATTTTTCTTGGTCGAGGTCTGTAGTACAACAAAAATGAATGACCAGTAACTAAATTATAGGGCTGAAGGTCTGTTTCTGTGAAACAGATGCATCCACTTCTTCTCTTGCTGTGTGTAGCACATATGCTTTTCTTCCATACTTTTTCTCTACATCTAATTTCCTTAGCGCTTTTGTATGTTTCCGTATCAGAAATGACCATTATCGTTGCTGTACTTGCCAGTCGTTCCGTTTTTGATGTGCTGCATCAGTAGCATGATAGATAGTGCTGATAAAATATTGTTGCCTGTCCTAGATGGTGTAAGATCGTCTAGCTATCCAAACAAAATCGAGATCTGGTTTGGAAAATTTGAGTATTTTGTAAGTATCATAATAATGAAAGTCAACTACTGCTAGGTAGAAGCACTGGAATGTGATTACTGCTACCTTGCGATAAATTAAATTTCCATAAACTACAAAATAAACTACTGCATAATGCTCATTAGTGACATGCTTCGAGATGGATATCCGGAAGATCTAGTGAAAAATCGTGATCTGTGGGGTCAACCAGTCGGAAGTGAAGCGAATGCCAACTGAAGACCTTGGTAGATGGTCGCGCTATATCGTGAGTTGACAGAAGTACGAAACTGTGGATCATTGAACTGTGTGACCCAGTGTCTGAATGGTTAGCACGTTAGTGGCAAGACCTGAAGGTCATGAGTTCAATCTTTGTTGGGGTTGTGTGTGCATGCTGTTGAGGAGTTCCATACTAGGACGAACCAGCTGTCCAGAACTCTCAGGTTTCCAATGGTTCTCCAACTGATCTCATCCCATGATGAATAAATACTTCCCTCAAATAGATAAATTTCCCATAGACCTCAGAATAAAGTGTATTTATTTGGAAGTAAATGGGATCTTGAAAATGTTTTCTAAGCTTTTTGAACGTATATCAGCTCTCAGAAAACACGTGCTCGTGCACGCACTAGATGACTCACCACATATTTTGTGGTAACTTTAGCCAAAACGACTGGCCGCCATTTCGCATACACAACATGGAAATTTATTTTGTGGAATTCAGTTCTGACAACGCCTGACTTTACCAATAAAATGAAGTGACTGGATGCACTAATCACGTTGATGAACAACAACATCCTGTTATATAATGTTGTGTTGATTGGTTAAAGAGTGGAGGGAAGAATCTGTATTGTAATCTAATAAAGAAATAGCGCTAGTACGCGACTATTGTAGTCAATCGTGCTAAAAACTGTAAACCTTTCAGTGTTATGTAGAGAGATGACTGTTAGGGACTTTGGATAACATGGAATAATAATGTTATTCTCGGAATAGTTGCATTCGCCTTTTACTATGTTGCAACCACTAAACATACTTTAGACCTGCTTATTTCCTGTTTTCCCTTGGCTTTTTCATCTCAGTTTAGCACACCTCTCATTTTGTTGTTTTCCTACCAATATGGATTTAGTTATTTTAACTGTTCCGTTTCTCGGTTACAATCTTTCATTAAGTTTGAGAAAATCTGTTTATGGAGTTTGCTTGCAAAAACCATCCATCATCTAACAATGACTTCGGAAAACAGAAGTTTTATGTTCTGTAAGGAAACCACCGCCTTACGGGTCAGCTAGCCATCCATATGGATGAGCAGGAACTTTTTAGACATAGAAGAATGTCAGTTATTAGATTTCGGTAATTCGTATGTCCTATCTCCCTACTACAAAAGTCCTCCACCTTTTTTTCCGAAAGATGTGAACATACGCCACAGAATAATTGCAAACTGTCATTATGTCGGAGATGATTCTTCACATCCTTTCAAGAAGTTGAAAATTTTCTGAAATCCTTCACAACAAATCAGTGTACTGTGAGGTTTCAGGGAAAACGTATGAACGCCAAATTGGTTGAAGGGCTCAAAATAAATAGGGCCATTGTGGATATATATACATAAGTGTATTTCGTACACAGTTTAACTTAGCAATACGCCTTCTATTGTTTTACCGCTTTTTCTATTTCTAATGAATCAAACGATCATCAGTCCTTCACATTCCATCACAAACACATAACAGCTTTGCGATTTCACCCAGTGCACAGTGATTTTCTTAAAAATAAAAGTTAGGGATGAAAGCTTTCTTCAAATCTTAGCCTTGGTCAAGTCGCCAAAACAATAATACTACTTAGTTTTGTCACAATCATCTTCGAACTTTCAGTTTCCTTAATATCATATCAACTGTTGTACATTGTTCACTCATTTTGTGTTCATTACTGCCTTTATCTTTCACTGAATTACTAGGTCAAGTTGAGTTACCACTTGAATCAGTAGATGAAACAACTCCACAGAAACAAGTTCTCGACAGTACGAAACTCCAATACTACAAGGTAACTTCTCGTAGATTTTCTTCGATTATTATTACTAGGTTATGTTCAAGGGTGTTCACTCTTTTTAGTGGTTAGTATACCGATGTGTTTATTCAATTTTTGTATTCTTATTCAAATATTGAGTGGGAGTACCTTTTATTTTTCAGTTTAGTTCATATATTCACACTTATGAAACTCCATACACTTAGTTCCTTTGACAAATTTGAACAATACAGCCATAAAGATGAACTCATATTATTTCATAGCCTTACGTCAGCTGCAAACAGCCTACAGCTGAAATGAAGTATTGGTAGTGAGAGTGACATAACATACTTCAAATATGTAGAAATATGTGAGAATTCGAAATCTAGGATTAACAGTAAGGTAGTGAGCCAATGAAACACAGGATTAATAGTCCTAAACCTTAGTCAAAATCAGTGACAATTCATATCTAATGAGATAGAAAATTCTGGAGCTGTGGAAAGGAGGTGGGGGACAACAAACAAACAGGAGTGTGAAAGAAGGTATTACCTAGTTACATGAAAAAACCGGAAAAAATGTTAGGTGACTAACAGTGACTAACAGCCAGTATGTAATTAATGGGGGAGATGATGCAATCCAAAAAAGGAAGACTATGTGCAAAAAGTTATATACAGTTACCAGGGTAAATAAAGGTCAATCGTAGTCTCTTTCTGAGTGCATAGAGGTTATTTATTATTATTATTATTATTAGTCCCTTGGGTTCCTAGTGGAACATAGGGCTTCAGTAGCACGCCTCCAGTGACCTCTGTTCTCTGAGATCGTTTGGACCTGGTTCCACGACAGCCCGCAACCTCTCATTTCCTCCTCGCACGACCTCCTCCATGTCACCCTTGGACGTCCAACTCGTCGCCTCCCATCTGGGTTCCACTCGAGCGCCTGGCGCGTGATGTCCTCAGTCGGCCTTCTCAGTGCATGGCCAATCCATCTCCACTTCCTCCTGCATATTTGTTGGGTGATAGGTTCTTGCTGTGTTGGTTCGTTCCCAGAGTTCCTTGTTGCTTATTCTTATTGTTCTGGCCATCTGATCTTCAGTAGCGAGCGTAAGCAGTTGTTGATGAATGTCTGTAGTTTATTGGAAATGCCTTTCGTGACGCGTCGCCAAGTCTCTGAGCCATACAAGAGCACTGACTTGACGTTGGTGTTGAAAATCCGTATCTTGTTCCGCATGCTGAGTGCAGAAGATCTCCACACTGGTTTCAGGCTAATGAAAGCCTGTCTTGCTGTCTTTCCGATTCTGACTTTGACGTCCTCGTCCGTCCCGCCTGTAGTTGAAACAGTGCTTCCTAGATAAGTGAAGGAGGTTACTTCCTTTAAGTTTCTCCCCTTGATGGTGACTGGAGTTTGTTGTTGATGGTGGTGGTGCGGTATCTTCATCACTTCTGTCTTCTCTATATTCACCTGAAGTCCCGTCTTAGCTGCCTCTTCTATCAACTTGTTAGTTTTTGCCTGTAGATCTTCAAGTTTATGTGACATCAGACACAAGTCATCGGCGAAATCCAAGTCTTCTAGGTTCTTTTCCGCCGTCCAGCGTATCCCCCTCTTCTCGCTGCCTACTGTTTGCTGCATGATCCAGTCGACCACAATCAGGAATATCATGGGGGATAGTAGGCAACCTTGTTTCACTCCTGTTTCACTTCAAAAGCATCACTGAGCTTCCCATTGTGAATTATTGGCATGTGGCATCTTCATATAGTTGTTGAATGAGGCGGATAAAGGTTTGCGGTACTCCGTAGTATTGAAGCAGTTTCCAAATTACTTCTCGGTCGACGCTGTCAAAGGCCTTCTCAAAGTCGATGAAGTTGAGGTAGAGAGCTGATTGCCATTCTATGCTCTGCTCTATGATGATGCGAAGGGTTGCAATTTGGTCTGCACATGATTTGTACTTCCTGAAGCCTGCCTGTTCCGGTCGTAGTTTTGAATCCAGTGCATCTTTAAGCCTCTCCAGGATGATGCGGCTTAATATTTTACTTGCATTGGGTGGACAGGAGAGTGAGTCCGCGCCAGTTCTTGCAAGCACTGAGGTCTCCTTTCTTTGGCAGTTTGACAAGGTAACCCTTTCACCAACTGGCGTCATTTCGCCTCTCCGATTCCAGCGGGGAATAAGTTTGTTTTCATTTTTTATATTTTGTTTGTGCTTTGAAGTTTCTTTAGCGGTTAGATTTGTTTTACGGGGTAGGGTTGCTAGACCTATGCCCAACCTTCCCTCTTTACCCGGGCTTAGGACCGGCTAGTAACTAGTAAACTAGTTAACCAGGCGAGGTTGCATAGAGGTTAGGTTGGAGATATTTGATGACGACAGCTTCCGCAAACCGTAACAAACAAGGCGTTATTTATTTGTTGATTATCCTACAGGGTTGAGAAGCACCTATTCCTGTGGATACTTTCCTCAACTGTACCATCATATTTACGTCTTATACTCAAATCCGAAGTATTTAATCTCCCTTGTTTTCGTTTTCTATTGTAAAATTCAGATTTACATAAGCTTAGTTGAAGGTATCGAACAACTTTGAAGCATGATTCATATTATCGTAGAAAATGAAAGTATCATCGACATATCTGCGTTAATATGCCGTTTTCTTGATCACTTGTTGAATCAAGGAACGAAAGAAAAGCGTCTACTCGATCTCATGAGGATATTCCGACAAATGTGCCAGAAAGATAGCAAGGTCTTTACCAGAGCCGTCGCTAGGGACCTGACGAAAATAGGACACTAAAATAGTCACTCTGCCTGTCCAGCCTTGTGCTCAATTGTCACAGCCTTCGCTTGATCACCTGTCTCCGTGACTGCTTATCTCTCCATCTGTGCACTTGCATGTCTGGCTGTCTGGGTGTGTCCGCTTCTTCTTAGTCTGTCACTGACTGTGTGCCATTTCGCGCTTCACTACACTTCATTGCACTCCACTCAACCCGAACTCATGTGTCATGCATGCACTGCTCGAACATCTCCAGATTCTCACGTCACGCTGTGAACGAATAACTTAACAGCCTACCACGGTTATTTCAGCCAGTGGGTATCACATGTACGTGTAGGCGTCCGTGTATCTGTGCTTGGCTGTTTGTGTGTGTGGATTTTAGTGCGCATGCATAAGCAGTGTATGCACCTTGCTGTGTGTGTGTGTATGACATGTGCAACTGGCGTGCATGGTCCATTGATGGGACAGTCTATCTTGGGTGTTGGAATCAATTCAATTTACAGAACACAGTGCCTGGAAAGCAAGATGAGTAGTTCTTTTCCTGAATCATTTCACTAGCAACGTCCTAAGAATATCAATGTTTGAATGCTATTAATAGTCCATTGGTTTATTGTGGCATATGATGAAAGACCATCACTATAAGAAAAGTCAATAGAAAGAGGAATGTGCAGAAATAACACTAGCGAAGGCGGACAAGACGGAGATTGGAACAGTAGTTCTTCTCAGTGGACAAATTAGTAGGATGAAGAGACTTTTACAAGCACGAGGCTTCACGTGTTACCTCTGTAAGTATCTAGTTCACTGTTATCGCCGTATCGCTTCTCAATCTGGTATGTAGATGACAATTTCAAGGCTCAGTTCACTTTAAGAATTGACTTCTTCTTTGAACAACTTTGTCAAACTAGTTGAAGCATTCGACTTTCTCTATCTAACTAACAAGTTCGTGATAGGACAAATTGTGCACTGAAGTAGCACTGCTTTTCCCTAAACCGAGTTATGTGGCTAACTGTACACTATCTTTTGTTGTTCACGTACTAATGCATATTCAATAGTTTGGGTGTTGTTGTTATTTTTATCTCTTTCAACCTATTTCTCGGTTGTTTTTGATTTTTTTTTTCAAGGATACCAGAGATGTTCATATATCTCGAGTCCATTCATTACTTTTGGATTGGCGTGGTAAACTGCAAGATTCCCGTGGTGATTTAGAAATGCAACTGGTCAGTCATACACCAGTTATTCGCCACAGTGAAAGTATGCAATATCAAAGCCCAAACTCCCATCATACTACTAATAATAGTACTAATACTGAAAATCATAAGCTACGGAATATAAGTACGCGTCTAGGTCCATTATTAGCCAAGAAACGTGAATTATCATTCTTACTAGCTTGTTTGGAACAAGTTTTGAATGCGATGACACGTGTAGAGCGCGTGGAAGACTTACGTACAGCACAAACTTTATTATTACAATCTGGTAGTGGTGGGGCTTTGGCTATGGCTGAAAGTGGAATTCCATCCGCTGATGACGATGATTCGAATATTGATCGTAAACGAAAGTTTACTCCAGTTTCTCCTGGTAGTGGATGTGGAAATTTAGCGGATGACATTAATTCTATTCCTATGCGCTTATCTATGGAATGGCTGACTACATAGTGAGTTGAACTTTTTGTGCCAATGAAAGATGAATGTCTTTATTTCTCCTTCTTTTTTGTTGTTATAAAAGTTCGCAGTTTTTGAATATTGAGTTTATGGTAGCCTATTAGGAAAATGTATATACATGCCACTGAGGACTTCACTGTTTTTTGGTACCGGTAACGAAACATTTCATTTTTGCCTGAAGTTGTTTTTTCGCGACTTTTATGGAAAGTAATTGGTGGTGTGCGAGCATCAAGCGAACACACTCAATATTTTTCTGAATTGAAGAAAGAGAAGACTGCCAGTATGTTTACCATAGATAAGTAATTGAAGAGTTGTGTAGTCGCTTCTAAAAACATGTTTTGTCTTAGTATATCTCAGACATTCTGTATTTCACATATGCCAGTCACTTGAGTTGTGAGTCTTATTCCGTCCGCTTGTCAACGTTTTGATAGTCACAACATGACTTAGTCTAGTACACGAACTTCCAAAAGCTACTTAATTAAGCTACTTTTCTTCATTTTACCATTCTTCAGTGAAGCCACCATCAAAGACTATTATCCTTTTATTTATGGTTATTATTGTCAGTAATGGTTTTCTGTCCCATTTTCTGCTTGTGATTTACTCCGTGTTGTTAGAATTCGTATTACCTACAATAAACTTAAACTCGTATATTGAGGTTTTCGTTTGCAAACGCCAACTTAATCCGTCTTTTAACCACTATCCAATCACGTCATCTTTTTACTATATTGTATTTCATGGTGAGAAGTAGGTCATATTTTATCTGTTCAGTTCAACCGATGATTATCGCTACATTTGAAAAGCTTAATTGTTGAATTAAAAGGAAGACATGCTTTCTAACAAATTAATCTTAACTGAATTAAAATAACTTCAGTATGCTTATATTTGGATCCACAGGTTGCATTCGAAAAACGATGGAGGTTAAGTCCTATCATTATCTAAATGGTCCTCACTAATAGATACAGTTGACAAATACGAGGATGCTAAATAAAACTTGTTGATATAAGCTTTGATAATTGCAACTTTTATCTGCAGGAAATGTCAATGCTTTTCAGCGAAAAGCTATGTATTTCTTGGCGTCCTCTACCTAACACTAAAGCTGGGATGTTACAATCAACCATCTATGGTATCGGTGCATACTTAAATATGACTGCTTTTAGCTTTTTTATCCGGGTGTTGATCATCTATTCAGTTTTTTTCAGGTCGATAAATCCATCTTCCTTAAGGTTTTGATGTAGTAACAGTCAGACGTAACTAGTGAATTCCTATGGAAAGGTAAGTGCTAATCAATGACACTGGGAAGATGGACAGACACATAGTACCAACGTAGAACCTGCATAACTGCGTAACGGTTCAAGTTGCCACACCTCATATCAGCACATCAAGTGAGAATGCACTAAGACGAAAGATAAAGAAATAAAGAAGATAGCAGTCAAAAATGGAGCACGGAAAAATAAGAGGAGTTCAAAATTCACCTAGATGGTTTGAATGATGATATGTGGATACATCTTTACCACTAAGATCGATTCGGAGCCGTGTCACCTAGTCTGCAACCACTGGTTTCTGTCGTCACACGGAACCCAATGGGGAAGTCTTCACGTTCATATACAGCTGAGATCAACAGCCAAAGACTTTAGAGACTGATGCACTGTTTTAGACTAAGCACATCCAATATTTTCCATGTTGAATCCACCTCAGCTAATTGTGCGATAAGGCAGACGATGATTAGTTATGCGTAACACACATCCCAGCCACATGAGTCAAAGGTTCACAGTCTCCTCAACAGATTTCCCTTTTCAGCTTTACACATAGAAGGTCTCTGGTTCAAACGCAGTCTACATTAGATTTTCGCAACCAATAGCTGCTACTTTCAAGTGGTGGTCGAATTGGCTTATTACAATGGCGCAACAAGCTATCCTGGTGGAACTCTTGTTCCCTCGAGGTCCTACCCTGCCCAAAAAGGTACATTCAGTAGTGGTAAAGGAAGCAGTCACCGTTTTATCCTAAATTTTCACGCTACGATGGGTTTCCGAGGTAAACCTTACACTGCTGGCTTGACAAAGGTTTGACAGCAAGGAGGTGTTTCTCCCGGGTAACATGGTGGTGCTGCCTTCCTTGCAGGAAACTGGAGGGTTAAAAAGGTTGGCCCTAAAAATGGCACACTCTCCTCTACTCCGTGGCATACTGATGCCAGCAATATGACTTCATAGTCGGATTTGTACAAAGAACGTATATCTTCAACGTTTAGAAAGGCTTTATGTGACTGACCTCAAGATTACATCTCTTGGGCTCTGCAGTCACGCACTAAACCTTTTTTTTCAAGTACCTCCAGAAGCAATATCCTCTCACGTTGTCAGCGATCGTGAAGTGCCAAATGCTCACTCTAATCTGTCAGCACTCAAATCCTTCAGATGTAGGTGCAGGTATAGCACTAGATGGTGTTAAAGGCAGAAAGTGCATTGCTCGATTGGATCCCAGTTGAAAGTCGGATATGCGCTGTTCGCCTGAACGGCACAGTGAGGACTAAAAAGGATAATAAAACTTGCATCGTCTGTTTGTAATCTCTGCTTACGCACCCACTGACTGGAGTTCGGTTGAAGTGAAGCATGAGTTCTACCTAACACTCTCTAGCCTTTTACTGAAAGGTAGATATTCAGAAGTTATTATTGTATCGAGTGATTTCAGTGCAAAAGTGCGTAGCTTTATTCTGATAGAAAGATGAATGGTACTTTCGGAATCCCAGCTGAAGGGAAGGATAACGTCGGTCACTTTCCGGAGTTGTGCTATTTCTGGGCAGCTCGAAGTTCAGACATGGGGTGTGACTCATTGGTTTAGAGAAATGACTGTTAACGGTTGGGTCACAGGTTCAAGCCCCACCTAATCTACTGAGGTCTCGGCAATTAAGTAGTATCACTAGCCCTCACACAATAGGTGTGGCTCACTGCAAGGATGTTCCAAAGGTGGCCGAGTACGATTCTTTTCGTTTTTCGATGTTGGGACATGAGGATAAATAATTCCTGTTGGTACATCCACTGACTCCAACTCAGTGGTGGACACAGGTATACTCTATTGGTATGAGTTATGACTGTAGAGGGTCGGTGGAAGTTTTCCTCTGTTTCCGAATCACGTGGTTGGATGGCCTCCACTTGTTGGTTCGAGAACGTGTTTGTCTTGACCTAAATGGACGTAGGGAAACTAAAACACCAAGAGCATTGGGAGTGCAGCTTGGCTGTAAGAACACTAAGGATGCTTTCAGCGAGAAGCTGGCTAGAAAAGAAAGGAGGTCAGTGTTTAGTGGGAATATAGTGGAGAAGTATGGGTCTGCGATTCACTTGCAAGGGGATGCCTGGAACGATCAGTGAGACACTTCGAGGAAAGTTCAACTGGTCTGCATCTACGATTCCATTTCTTGCTATCTAGTCTGATCCTGAATGGAATATCGACGTGGACCTTCTAGGACTTACAGAAATTGAGAAAACTGTAGGTAACTTGAAATGAAGAAGAGTAGCAGGGCTTGATGGTTTCGTACCAGAAGTATTTGAGGACGGTGGTCGTGGATTATTGTTCAGGTTAAGTGTTAGGTACTGTTAGGTAGTCAGATATGATCCTCTTTGACTGCCAAAGTCTTCTAGAAGTGGGAGGGGAAAATCTTCTTGCGGCTACCATAGGGAAACCAGCCTGATGAACATGGTATCTAAGACTGGGTTCTGTGGCCGTCAGATGTCTGAGTGAATTCGCGAACAGTGAAGTCAATGAAAGTAGCCAGGTTTCAGACTTAGCGGGGAATTTGTTAACCGAACATTCGCCTTTCGTTAGGTTGTGGAACACAGACACACCTACAGACGCTGGACACTAGCTGTTTTTCTCGACTTGAAGTTGACATTTGATTCTGTTGATCAGGAAGTCTTATGGCTACGTTGGCCCCTGAAAGTGGTGCCTAGTAAGTGCATCAATCTGTTGATGACTTAGTACTCAAACATTTGTGTGCTTTTTAGTGGCAACGGTAACTTGTCAGGTGAGTTGTGTATATGGAGTAGTGTCCATCTGTGATATCCAGTCTCTTAATTCGTATTCACCTTTACCACAGATGTACCAGTAGGGGTCACTTTCTCGTCGTTTGACTTAACAGGGGAGAATCTTTAATAGATCTAGGAAATCAATGGCGTATTCATTCTGGATGGAGAGACTGACAGGATGCAGAATCTTCTGGATACCTTGAGTCGCGATTTCAGCATGTTTGGAATGCGTTTCTTTCCAGGAGAATGCAAATTATCGCTCTAGGACTAGTCTTCAGTGGTGCCCTGTCTAAATATTGAGTGAAGCGGTTGCGTGCGTTAAACACTGCTTACCTGGGAAGTATGATCGACCCTGGTGGGTCAGTGTCTACCCGATACAAATGGTTCACTTAACTTTCACTAATACACTTCGTTTATTGTGCTACAGTGACATCCGGTTGTCTATTAATGATTGAGTTTGCTGCGCCATAATTCGCTTTATCTTATTGTATGGTTGTCGAACATTGTCATTAAAGTTAGTGGACATAAAAAGGCCCAAGATATTTGACCACCGTTGCCTTCGTAGCATAGACCATGTGTCGTAGTGTCATTACATGAGTAACGCAGGAGTCAGGTTTAAAGCGTTAGGGAGGAGAGGAAAGTTAGCTGATGATGCTGTGAACCGTCATTGACTTATGTGGCTGGAATATGTGTTACACATGGCTTCTCAGTGTCTTCCTCGTTGCACAATGATAGCTGAAGTAGGTTTAAGCTGGAAAATGTTTAGGGACAACAACTTAGTATCATTGCATAAAGTCTCTGGCTGTTGATCTGAGCCGTGTGGGGAAATATAGACTTCCTAATTGTGGTCCGCGTGACTACAAAAGTCAGGGGCTGGAGACTCTAGGTGCCATTACTCGGTATCGATTTCAGTGACCTACATATATCTGCGCATTATCCTCATCTTAATCGTCATACGGAATTCAGTAGTTTCTTTTTTCTCCCTGTCCTCTTTTTACACCTTTTGACTGGTTCTTTATTTCTTTATCTTTCATCTTAGTTTTATCTCGGTTGATATGTTACTATGGGTTTGTACAGCTTGAACCGTTATGCAATAATGCCTTGTCCTATAGTGATGATGATTTTGAGAGTAGAGGGAACTGCAGAACAGTACTCCACCCCTAATAGACGGTTGGATAACACGGCGTAAGCTGACGAAAACCAAGCGGGCTTTCTGTATCAATGCGGAGATTTTGTCAGCCCCTAACCCATCTCAGATGATCCGACTTAATAGGTAAATGAGGTGGTCTTTGCATTCTTCCATATCACTCCCTATTGTTAGATAGGACACCAGTGAAGGCCAATTGCGGACCAACAGTTAGCATTTGAGTGACGAGAAACACCTCCCTTACACTCTCAAACCACCACTCATAGTGTCCAGAAGACTTCTCATCCTGTCAGTCTTCACCTAACATAACTATGTCATCTATGTACTCTCAATCTTCTAAGGATTCCCTTGTGACAAGATCAGTCGCTTCAAATTCAGACAACGACAGGGATATCTTCACAAGTGCTTCAGTGAGAAAGTTGAATAAAGTGGGGAGAGTTGACAATCGAGAAGCCTATCAGTCAATGTATTCAATACCTGGGACTGTAGCATAGCCATATGTATCGAAGTACAAAGCCTTCAGCAGGGTGATGTAGAGACTGGGCTATCAGTTCATTTGGAAACACTTACAAACCTTCTTTAACTACATTACAGAATAATACCTTTACACAAGGAATGCAGGAAATGTGAAGCGCTCACAGTGTGCTTGTATTCTATATCCGATTCTCACACGTACGTCCAAATGTGAAACCCTTGTGATTTTCTTGGGTTTCAATATATTGGATATTCCCATTTAGACATTTAGAAAAAGACCGATTGAGCGAAGAAATATATTCCTTTTCAACTAAGTCTTCATCTTGGGCTCTACACTAATATATAGGTTTACAATTTAATCAAATTACCAATTACGTGGTGTTGTTTCGGAAATAATGATGTAAATAATCAATAGAGTTACTAAAATTGGAAATATGAATATTGATAGGAACAAGAAGGGGAAGAGGTATACAAGGTAAACCTAGAAGTTACATCGTGTTGACGGCCACAGTAATGAAAGTGGTCGAACAAACTTCTTTTGTATACAAAGGCTAGGTTTGTGAAGGTGGATTGCAATGGCCTCTGCTATGTGAAGTAACCGAACGCGTAATCCATGAGGTAAATTAATTGGAATCTGATGGATGATTTTGAAGGCTTTTCCAGTAACCACTTGATGTCCTGTGTCAACTAGGTGTGCAAGTATAAAGCTCCACAGGAGCAGCTGAATTGATAAATGCATTTATCAATTCAGCTGCTCCTGTGGAGTTAGTTACATTGGGCGTACAATGAGGCAGTTTCATCGTCGAATTTATGAGCACCACGCATCATGGTTGAACAAGGGACAAATTAGAACTATAAAGAGCTGCATACTAGCACACAAAAGAAGTTTTTTCGACCACTTTCATTACTGTGGCCGTCAACATGATGTAACTTCTAGGTTTACCTTGTATACCTCTTCCCCTTCTTGTTCCTATCAATATTCATATTTCCAATTTTAGTAACTCTATTGATTATTTACATCATTATTTCCGAAACAACACCACGTAATTGGTAATTTGATTAAATTGTAAACCTATATATTAGTGTAGAGCCCTAAGATGAAGACTTAGTTGAAAAGGAATATATTTCTTCGCTCAATCAGTCTTTTTCTTGGGTTTGCTGTTCCCGAGCTTCATGTAAACATCTTTTGACCATTGAACCTAGGATCTTAGCGTAATGTTCATCAGACTGTTTTCACTGTGGTTATCTTAGAATTATTTTCTCCTTTGAAGCCTGGGACAATCGTTCATTGAGACCACTTAAAGGGAATCGCACTTGATTGCTTCACGCCAGCTAGTATATCAGTTGATCTACCCTATGGTGCACGAGCACCAAAGCGTGCTGAAATTGCTTATTTCAGGTTCCTTTTGGCCTCCTCAACTTCTACATGAATTAGACGTGTGGTCTTTATGCTCCCTCACAATATGGCTGAGTAGCAGGCACCTGAAGATTAACTATAGACCATTTGAAGTGTTCCGCTCGTTGTTCTAGTTGCCTGCCTTGCTAACGGATCGCAAGTCAATAACTGGAAGCTTGAAGCAGTGGTAGACCTTGCCTATCACAATGTACCAGTGATTTTTGCTGGTTGGAATAATTCTTTCCTGAGCTCCTAACCTACCAGAAAATTTTGTTTGATAGGAAGCAGCTGGCGTCAACACCTACGCCACGTTGTTGGTGCAAGGATGATGTCATACTGCTGTCTACATCTATCGGCATAATTGAGGTGGTTCTCGGCGATAACCAGCTGACTGTTGGTCTAGCCCATATAGGAAGATATAGACTGCCTGGCTGTAGTCCTGAAAATAACGGGAATCAGTGATGGGAGTTCTTGGTGAAATGGCTGAAAATTGGTCAAAATGACCCAGATATATTGACTAATGTCTTATAAAGTTTGAACGTTCTCACTACCTGTAATTTAAGTGAGTTATTGCTGCAAAATGAGCAAGCAAAAGACTAAGAGTTGCCGTTGCTATGACTTATCCTGCAGCTAAAATCATTCCAGGGTATAACACATGTGCATCATGACAATTAAATTGACATAAGTACCTATTTCACCTTATCTTGAATCTCATATATATATTCACATGTAATTTTCAAAGTAAGCGTATCGTAAGGACCGGAAGAGAAGCTTCAATTCGCTTCTTCCGGAATTCTTCAAAAATTTCTTTGTTATTAGTTGGTGTAGTGCCACTTTTCTCTCACTGATTTGTTTTAAGATGGCTTTTTGAAATTGGGTGATTTCATGTTAATTTTTATTGTCATAGTATAGAAATTTCTTAGACATTCTGCTTTTTACATTTTTGTTTTACTTTTTCAGCCATGGTGATCATTTAATTGATGGACTCCGTCTGCTTGCATTGAACTGTGTTTTACATGACGGTTTGGGTGAAGGATTATATGATGTAATGTGCCGTGCTGTAATGCATGCAGCAGGTCAGATCACCTTTCCAATGCTTGATGCCTTACGTTCACTCGGCCTGATGCATCCTCGTTCCAAACCCTCTGAATTGTCCTCTTCAAAGCAGACTCCAGCGAACACTCATGCTGCAGTTGAAGCAGAGTCGAATGCATCTATTTCTCGAGCGAATAATTCGACAAAGAGGTCTGGTCAGCCATTGTCTAATGCAGTTACGAAACTGAAATTATCAAATAAACATAAATCAAGCTATAAGTAAGCTATTTGGGAAAACTTTATGTATTTGAGTTTTATATTATTCCCGAAAGAGTTGGTTGATTTAGGTGTTCAGTTTTGACTGTTGTATATCGATTTTAAGGTTTTAGGGATTTATTTATTGATTTTAAGTTGGTATTCATCATGAACTTGGTATCAGCTGGAGAAACATTGGAAACCTGGGAGCACTGGACTGCTGTTTCAATCTAGTGTGGAACGCTTCAACAGTGGGCACCCTGACCTTCGCCAGGTTTCGAACCCGGAACCTTCAGGTTCCGTGGCCAACACCTTAACATTGAGCCACTGAGTTGGAATCCAAAGGTCCATATTTCCTATTTCTATCAGTTATATATTGATCGGAAATTTAGTTTTCGAAGGTTTTTCTATCCTATGAAGGTTAACTAAATGGGGTTTACAACGAAAAGCAGTACTACCGTCGTAAAAATAATTTCATTGTTCTGAAGAAGCGTTCTTTCCCAAATCTATCTCAAACTTCACTTTCATCACAACAAAACTGGTTAGGTTAAATTTGTATTCTGAAACACTGAACGGTTACGCTGAACTCACGTATTCACTGCTCCATTTTCAAAAGTATGCCTAAACTTCTTATGAAGCACATAATCACTGAGCTTGCTTTGTCGAAAGTGATAAGGATCTTCTTTCGTTTTTATGCATACACTGTTACATATTGTACAGGTTCTTTCTTTTTTTCATAACGCCATTAAAGACGAAAAATCCGTCTTTCACTAGAACTGTTAGAACTAATATTTTCTTTTGTTATGCAGCGTTTATCAGTTACATTATTTTGAATCAGTGATGATACCTTTTTTGAAATCCGTTTGTGAAACTTCAGTCAAAATACTGGCTTCAACAGAATGTGAGACGATCATCTTTTCTTTACACTCCAGTTCGCAACTTCAAATAAAGATGAGCCAACTGCATCTGTGTACATTTTCCTAAATAGGCTACCATAAACTCAATATTCAAAAACTGCGAACTTTTATAACAACAAAAAAGAAGGAGAAATAAAGACATTCATCTTTCATTGGCACAAAAAGTTCAACTCACTATGTAGTCAGCCATTCCATAGATAAGCGCATAGGAATAGAATTAATGTCATCCGCTAAATTTCCACATCCACTACCAGGAGAAACTGGAGTAAACTTTCGTTTACGATCAATATTCGAATCATCGTCATCAGCGGATGGAATTCCACTTTCAGCCATAGCCAAAGCCCCACCACTACCAGATTGTAATAATAAAGTTTGTGCTGTACGTAAGTCTTCCACGCGCTCTACACGTGTCATCGCATTCAAAACTTGTTCCAAACAAGCTAGTAAGAATGATAATTCACGTTTCTTGGCTAATAATGGACCTAGACGCGTACTTATATTCCGTAGCTTATGATTTTCAGTATTAGTACTATTATTAGTAGTATGATGGGAGTTTGGGCTTTGATATTGCATACTTTCACTGTGGCGAATAACTGGTGTATGACTGACCAGTTGCATTTCTAAATCACCACGGGAATCTTGCAGTTTACCACGCCAATCCAAAAGTAATGAATGGACTCGAGATATATGAACATCTCTGGTATCCTTGAAAAAAAAAATCAAAAACAACCGAGAAATAGGTTGAAAGAGATAAAAAATAACAACAACACCCAAACTATTGAATATGCATTAGTACGTGAACAACAAAAGATAGTGTACAGTTAGCCACATAACTCGGTTTAGGGAAAAGCAGTGCTACTTCAGTGCACAATTTGTCCTATCACGAACTTGTTAGTTAGATAGAGAAAGTCGAATGCTTCAACTAGTTTGACAAAGTTGTTCAAAGAAGAAGTCAATTCTTAAAGTGAACTGAGCCTTGAAATTGTCATCTACATACCAGATTGAGAAGCGATACGGCGATAACAGTGAACTAGATACTTACAGAGGTAACACGTGAAGCCTCATGCTTGTAAAAGTCTCTTCATCCTACTAATTTGTCCACTGAGAAGAACTACTGTTCCAATCTCCGTCTTGTCCGCCTTCGCTAGTGTTATTTCTGCACATTCCTCTTTCTATTGACTTTTCTTATAGTGATGGTCTTTCATCATATGCCACAATAAACCAATGGACTATTAATAGCATTCAAACATTGATATTCTTAGGACGTTGCTAGTGAAATGATTCAGGAAAAGAACTACTCATCTTGCTTTCCAGGCACTGTGTTCTGTAAATTGAATTGATTCCAACACCCAAGATAGACTGTCCCATCAATGGACCATGCACGCCAGTTGCACATGTCATACACACACACACAGCAAGGTGCATACACTGCTTATGCATGCGCACTAAAATCCACACACACAAACAGCCAAGCACAGATACACGGACGCCTACACGTACATGTGATACCCACTGGCTGAAATAACCGTGGTAGGCTGTTAAGTTATTCGTTCACAGCGTGACGTGAGAATCTGGAGATGTTCGAGCAGGTGCATGCATGACACATGAGTTCGGGTTGAGTGGAGTGCAATGAAGTGTAGTGAAGCGCGAAATGGCACACAGTCAGTGACAGACTAAGAAGAAGCGGACACACCCAGACAGCCAGACATGCAAGTGCACAGATGGAGAGATAAGCAGTCACGGAGACAGGTGATCAAGCGAAGGCTGTGACAATTGAGCACAAGGCTGGACAGGCAGAGTGACTATTTTAGTGTCCTATTTTCGTCAGGTCCCTAGCGACGGCTCTGGTAAAGACCTTGCTATCTTTCTGACACATTTGTCGGAATATCCTCATGAGATCGAGTAGACGCTTTTCTTTCGTTCCTTGATTCAACAAGTGATCAAGAAAACGGCATATTAACGCAGATATGTCGATGATACTTTCATTTTCTACGATAATATGAATCATGCTTCAAAGTTGTTCGATACCTTCAACTAAGCTTATGTAAATCTGAATTTTACAATAGAAAACGAAAACAAGGGAGATTAAATACTTCGGATTTGAGTATAAGACGTAAATATGATGGTACAGTTGAGGAAAGTATCCACAGGAATAGGTGCTTCTCAACCCTGTAGGATAATCAACAAATAAATAACGCCTTGTTTGTTACGGTTTGCGGAAGCTGTCGTCATCAAATATCTCCAACCTAACCTCTATGCAACCTCGCCTGGTTAACTAGTTTACTAGTTACTAGCCGGTCCTAAGCCCGGGTAAAGAGGGAAGGTTGGGCATAGGTCTAGCAACCCTACCCCGTAAAACAAATCTAACCGCTAAAGAAACTTCAAAGCACAAACAAAATATAAAAAATGAAAACAAACTTATTCCCCGCTGGAATCGGAGAGGCGAAATGACGCCAGTTGGTGAAATCCTTCGGGAAGCCAATTGGCCGATGTGTCTTCTCTCGATGAAAGCGAAAGTAAACGTGGGGACATGGAATGTCCGTAGGATGTTTGAACATAGTAAGGCAGCCCAGATTGCAAAGGAGATGAGAAGGTATCACGTCGAAGTGCTTGGGATTTGCGAAAGCAGATGGAATGGGAGTGGACTCTCCAAACTGTCAACTAGAGAATCAATAATCTACTCCGGTCACCCAGACGCCAACCACGAGCACACTGAGTTATGGAGTGGCTATCATGATGTCCTCAAGAGCATCGAAGGCTCTCATGCAGTGGGAACCAATCTCCTTGTGGGGATCATAACAGCAAGATTCAACTCAAAAGGAAGGAAGGTCACAATCATTCAATGCTATGCTACGCACCTACAAATAATGCAGATGAAGAGAAGAAGAAGGAATTCTACAGACAACTTCAATCAACACTGGACAAGACCCACCCCAGTTGGCGATATCAAAATTCTAATGGGCCACATGAATACCAAACTGGGAGGGGACAACACGGGAAGAGAACTAACCATGGGTCGAGAAGCGCTCGGTGAGGTGGTGAAAGAGAATGGAGAATTGTTTGCAGAATTCTGTGCATTCAACGATTTGGTGATTGGAGGCAGTGTGTTCAGGCACAAGGATATCCACAAAGCGACATGGACTTCACCAGATGGACACACTAAAAACCAAATCGACTTTATCTCAATCTCAAGAAAATGGAGACGCAGTCTACTTGACACAAGGTCAAGAAGAGGAGCAGATGTAGGTTCACACCACTCACTATCTAGTGCAAGGAACCTTCCAAATCAAGTTAAAAGCCTTCAAGGAAGCTGGTGATAGACCTCAATTCAAGTACAACACTCGGAAACTGAAGGATGAAACTACAAAGGAGATCTTCAAGGCAGCCATCAAGACAAAATGGGAGACGTCGAGGGACATCCCTGAAGAAACCTGTGTAGAAGAACACTGGAAGTCTTTGAAAGCTATGTGGAAAGAAACCTGCACAACAGTATTAGGAAGGAAGAAGAAAGAAGACAAGGAATGGATCTCGACGGATACCTGGAAGCTGATAGAGGAGAGGAGGATGGTGAAGCAGAAGATAAACCAGTGCAAGGATGCTCAACGACAAGAGGAACTGAGCACAATGTATAAAACACTGGACAAAGAAGTAAAGAAGAGTACACGCAAAGACAAAAGACACTTCTACGACACACTGGCAAGTGAAGCAGAACAGGTTGCAGGTAGGAGAGATAGAGACCTGACAACATTGTATCAAATAACCAGGTTGCTATCAGGGAAGAGACCATCACAGATGAAACCAATAAAAGATGAAGAGGGAAATTTAATTACAAAAGAAGAGAAACAGAGGAAACGATGGGCCGACCACTTCAAGAAGCTCTTGAATCGACCACCACCTGCACTTCGTCCAGAAATGCCACCTGCAGCCGCTGAATTACAAGTGAACATAAATCCCCCAACGAAAATGGAAGTCCTGAACGCCATAAAGCTACTGAAATGCGGGAAAGCAGCAGGACCAGATGGGATCCCGCCAGAGGCACTGAGAACAGATGCAGAGACAACAGCGGACATGCTCACACCACTATTGCAGAAGGTGTGGAAGGAAGAG